CCCAACCCCCTTGGCACGGGTAGGGCACCCCTTGGTTCCCCAACCCCCTCGGCACAGGTAGGGCACCCCATGGCTCCCCAACCCCCTTGGCATGGGAACAGTGCCCTCAGCTCCCCAACCCCCTTGGCACGGGTAGGGCACCCCTTGGTTCCCCAACCCCCTTGGCATGGGCACATTGCCCCCTCAGCTCCCCAGCCCCCTCGGCACAGACGCGGCACCCTGGTCAGCTCCCCAAACTGCTCTGACTAAAGCCCTGCTACCGAAGAAGTGGGCTGTAGCCCACGAAAGCTTATGCTCTAATAAATTTGTTAGTCTCTAAGGTGCCACAAGTACTCCTGTTCCTCCCTGCTACGTCTCTGCTGCAGCACAGCGCTATTCACACTGCTCATTCCCAGGGCGAGTGTGCGTCTGGCCCCAAGGGGTTGGTGCAGGCCGGGGCACTGCCCTGGGGTCTCTCCTGTAGGCGTGTCGGAGCGTGTCCAGGGGTGGTGCACTGTTCCGTGGGGTGTGGCAGGGCTGGGGACTGTGCTCAGCTGGGTGTGAGCCTGGGCCACATTTCTCCTGCTGCACGGCTGTCCTCAACACGCTTCTCCAGCCTGCTCACAGATTACCATAGGACATCGCCCCGCCCCCTCTACGTGGGCAGTCTCCTTTGCCCCCCGCCAAACCCTCATCACTGGGGAGAGCGCGGACAGTGGCACCAGCTGTCCTTGCTTCTAGGCCCTTTGTGGTCAGCGTATCGGGCGGGCACCCTGCCAGCATTGCCACTCTGCATGCCAGCCGTGCTGGGGGTGCAGCGCCAGGGCAGGGCACTGTGAGATGGAGCCAGCCTGGTTTGGTGCTTCGGGCCCTTGGACACCCCTGCTGTGCTGGGCAATCGGGGTCACAGCCCGTGGGGTGAGCACCCTGCCCTACCATGGCCAACACTAGGGTGCCCACAAGAAGCCACCGACCGGCCCCCTTGGCTCATGAGCCTGAAGAAAACCCCTCTAGCCAGTGTACATGGGCGAGAAGTTGCCCCAGCTTGCGCAGCCCAGAGCCTGAGGGCCACGGGGTGGGGTCCCTGTGCATGGTGGGTCCCAGGCTAGGTCGGATCGTGGGACAGGACTCAGTGAGCTGCCCAGGCCAAGCCCGGCTCGGAGCCCAGCTGTAGCCACTTCCTGGCCATCCCCTGGAGGAGCTCCGGGCACCCAGGAGGGCTCTCCCCAGCCCATCCCCCCAGAGCCCTGGGAAGCTTCAGCCAGTCAGAGCAGGGTTCTCCTATTGGTGGTGTTGAGGATGAGGTCACCCTGGGGTCCCCTGGGGCTGGGCTGGCCCTGTTCAGTGTCTCGCCTCCCACAAAGGTCTATGAGCATGGGCCTTCCCCACCTGAGCTAAGTGGGGGGTGGGAGGGACTCCATCAGCTGGTAGCAGTTGTAGGCTGTTCTCTGCTGTGACTGTGCAGTAGGCCAAACTCTTGTACTTGGCTCATGTTCTAAATAGTCTCTTTGGCTGCGACTTCCCCTTGCAGCCTCAGCCCGTAACCTGCAGCTCTGCGAGGGATATCCCAGCCCTGATGGGCGCTACCACTCCGGCTTCTACTGCCCACGCCTCACTGACCCCCCTGCACACAGGTACTGCTGCCGCCATGGAGACCACGCCCTCAAATCCTGCTGCCCCCAGATGGAGTTTGAGAGCCTGAGGAGGGTCAATCTGTCCAACGTGCCCACCCCAGCCAGACTCAGGTAAGCAGCAGTGCCTGGTCTGGGCCTGCACTTGGGGGAGGGGAGGGACGGCTTCAGGTTCTAAAGCCAGCCATGTGCACACCCCCTTCTGGAGCAGCCCGGCATGACTCGTGGCCCTGCACCACGCACAGGGCAGCATGAGCACAGAACACTGCATGTGGACTGGGGCTCTCGGGAACGGCAGAGCAGCACGCCCCACGAGCTGGTCTGACATGAGTCAGAGAAGCCCCAGATAGACGTGCTGTGACAGGCACGAAGCTGCATCGACACTATATAAATCCCTGTTACGCCCACACCTGGAATACTGCGTGCAGGTCTGGACAGATACATTAGAATTGGAAAAGGTTCAAAGAAGGGCAACAACAATGATTAGGAGAATGGAACAGCTTCTGTACGAGGAGAGATTGAAAAGACTGGGATTATTCGGCTTGGAAAAGAGACGACTAAGGGGGGATCTGATAGAGGTCTGTAAAATCATGACTGGTGTGGAGAAAGTAAACAAGGAAGTGTTATTTACTCCTTCTCATAACACAAGAACTAGGGGTCACCCATTAAATTAATAGGCAGCAGGTTTAAAACAAACAAAAGGAAGTATTTCTTCACACAACGCACAGTCAGCCTGTGGAACTCCTTGCCAGGGACGTTGTGAAGGCCAAGACTATATAACAGGGTCCAAAAAAGAACTAGAGAAGTTCCTGCAGGACCTTATGGCTATTCCATCAATGGCTATTAGCCAAGACAGTCAGGGATGCACCCCGTACTCTGGATGTCCCTAAACCTCTGACAGCCCGAAGCTGGGGCTAGATGGATCATAGAATATCAGGGTTGGAAGGGACCTCAGGAGGTGTCTAGTCCAACCCCCTGCTCAAAGCAGGACCAACCCCAACTAAATCATCCCAGCCAGGGCTTTGTCAAGCCGGGCCTTAAAAACCTCCAAGGAAGGAGACTCCACCACCTCCCTAGGTAACGCATTCCAGTGCTTCACCACCCTCCTAGTGAACAAGTGTTTCCTAATATCCAACCTAAACCTCCCCCACTGCAACTTGAGACCATTACTCCTTGTTCTGTCATCTGCCACCACTGAGAACAGTCTAGATCCATCCTCTTTGGAACCCCCTTTCAGGTAGTTGAAAGCAGCTATCAAATCCCCCCTCATTCTTCTCTTCTGCAGACTAAACAATCCCAGTTCCCTCAGCCTCTCCTCATAAGTCATGTGCTCCAGCCCCCTAATCATTTTTGTTGCCCTCCGCTGGACTCTTTCCAATTTTTCCACATCCTCCTTGTAGTGTGGGGCCCAAAACTGGACACAGTACTCCAGATGAGGCCACACCAATGTCCAATAGAGGGGAACGATCACGTCCCTCGATCTGCTGGCAATGCCCCTACTTATACAGCCCAGAATGCCGTTAGCCTTCTTGGCAACAAGGGCACACTGTCGACTCATATCCAGCTTCTCGTCCACTGTGACCCCTAGGTCCTTTTCTGCAGAACTGCTGCCTAGCCACTCGGTCCCTAGTCTGTAGCAGTGCATGGGATTCTTCCGTCCTAAGTGCAGGACTCTGCACTTGTCCTTGTTGAACCTCATTAGGTTTCTTTTGGCCCAATCCTCTAATTTGTCTAGGTCCCTGTGTATCCTGTCCCTACCCTCCAGCGTATCTACCACTCCTCCCAGTTTAGTGTCATCTGCAAACTTGCTGAGAGTGCAGTCCACACCATCCTCCAGATCATTAATGAAGATATTGAACAAAACCGGCCCCAGGACCGACCCCTGGGGCACTCCACTTGAAACCAGCTGCCAACTAGACATGGAGCCATTGATCACTACCCGTTGAGCCCGACGATCTAGCCAGCTTTCTATCCACCTTATAGTCCATTCATCCAGCCCATACTTCTTTAACTTGCTGGCAAGACTACTGTGGGAGACCGTATCAAAAGCTTTGCTAAAGTCAAGGAATAACACATCCACTGCTTTCCCCTCATCCACAGACCCAGTTATCTCCTCATAGAAGGCAATTAGGTTAGTCAGGCATGACTTGCCCTTGGAGAATCCATGCTGACTGTTCCTGATCACTTTCCTCTCCTCTAAGTGCTTCAGAATTGATTCCTTGAGGACCTGCTCCATGATTTTTCCAGGGACTGAGGTGAGGTTGACTGGCCTGTAGTTCCCCGGATCCTCCTCCTTCCCTTTTTAAAAGATGGGCACTACATTAGCCTTTTTCCAGTCATCCGGGACCTCCCCCGATCGCCATGAGTTTTCAAAGATAATGGCCAATGGCTCTGCAATCACATCCACCAACTCCTTTAGCACCCTTGGATGCAGCGCATCCGGCCCCATGGACTTGTGCTCATCCAGTTTTTCTAAATAGTCCCGAACCACTTCTTTCTCCACAGAGGGCTGGTCACCTTCTCCCCATACTGTGCTGCCCAGTGCAGCAGTTTGGGAGCTGACCTTGTTTGTGAAGACAGAGGCAAAAAAATCATCGAGTACATTAGCTTTTTCCACATCCTCTGTTACTAGGTTGCCTCCCTCATTCAGTAAGGGGCCCACACTTTCCTTGACTTTCTTCTTGTTGCTAACATACCTGAAGAAACCCTTCTTGTTACTCTTAACATCTCTTGCTAGCTGCAACTCCAAGTGTGATTTGGCTTTCCTGATTTCACTCCTGCATGCCTGAGCAATATTTTTATACTCCTCCTTAGTCATTTGTCCAATCTTCCACTTCTTGTAAGCTTCTTTTTTGCGTTTAAGATCAGCAAGGATTTCACTGTTTAGCCAAGCTGGTCGCCTGCCATATTTACTGTTCTTTCTACACATCGGGATGGTTTTTTCCTGCGACCTCAATAAGGATTCTTTAAAATACAGCCAGCTCTCCTGGACTCCTTTCCCCCTCATGTTATTCTCCCAGGGGATCCTGCCCATCTGTTCCCTGAGGGAGTCAAAGTCTGCTTTTCTGAAGTCCAGAGTCCGTATTCTGCTGCTCTCCTTTCTTCCTTGTGTCAGGACCCTGAACTTGACCATCTCATGGTCACTGCCTCCCAGGTTCCCATCCACTTTTGCTTCCCCTACTAATTCTTCCCGGTTTGTGAGCAGCAGGTCTAGAAGAGCTCTGTGCCTAGTTGGTTCCTCCAGCACTTGCACCAGGAAATTGTCCCCTCCACTTTCCAAAAACTTCCTGGATTGTCTGTGCACCGCTGTATTGCTCTCCCAGCAGATATCAGGGTGATTAAAGTCTCCCATGAGAACCAGGGTCTGCGATCTAGCAACTTCTGCTAGTTGCCGGAAGAAAGCCTCGTCCACCTCATCCCCCTGGTCTGGTGGTCTATAGCAGACTCCCACAACAACATCACCCTTGTTGCTCACACTTCTCAACTTAATCCAGAGACTCTCAGGTTTTTCTGCAGTTTCATACCGGACCTCTGAGCACTCATACTCCTCTCTTACATACAATGCAACTCCCCCCACCTTTTCTGCCCTGCCTGTCCTTCCTGAACATGACAGTATCCATCCATGACAGTACTCCAGTCATGTGAGTTATCCCACCAAGTCTCTGTTATTCCAATCACATCATAGTTCCCTGACTGTGCCAGGACTTCCAGTTCTCCCTGCTTGTTTCCCAGGCTTCTTGCATTTGTGTATAGGAACTTAAGATAACT